GATACTCTGAAGTATGTGACTGAACAAAGTTATACTGCCTGGGTTTTGTCAAACAGAAGCAGCTGTAATCAAATCCTAGCTACTTAGGCCTCGAAGGGTATTGCAACATCTACTCAAGCTGCAGCAAGTTCAATTCAACAGCAACTGAAAGTGTAGTAACGTTGTGATCAGTTTAAGAGTACAACAAGCTATTAAGTGTGAATCTGGGGAAGGGGTGGTGAAGACTTGCCACTTAAACCTAATGCCCCTAGAAAGGATAGAAGATGGAAGGTGTTGCCTGACTTTCCACATTCAACTTACCCAAATAATAGTATAGCCTATAACATTTTCATGCTCTTAATATTGCTTTAAATTTTGCATTGCATAATCAAACTGTCATTAACAACTGTCTCTGTCAATATATCATAACTTCATATTATTGTAGCTTAAGGAATCTTATTTATTTTAGTATCACTTAAGGCTAATTTTGCAAACACTTGCTGTGGTCAAATAAAATGTTTAAGTACTTAATCTGGTATTTTAAGTCAGTAGAGCTACTCAGAATCTTAGTGGTAAGTGCATGCTGAACTGGAGCCATAACCATAAGAACTATTCATAACAAGTTGGCTCACTTCATTAACGTCATTCACTCCACTAACAGATTGTTCACAGAAATACACATTTTAAAAATATACATTTGAAGAATCAACTCTAAAAATATTTAGTTTACTTTCTGCCTATGCTGCTGCTTTGTAAATGTTACGTTGCCACAATATATCCCACTATTGAGATAAAAAAAGGAAAGATTGCAAGGTCTTAAAGATTCCCTGAGAAGTTTTCCTAGACCATGGGAAAAACACACATGAAATAGTATGTTCAGCAGATTGGAAGAAAACTGTATTGTTGTAAAAGTACATAGCTGTAAATAAAAACTGGTGTATACTAAAAATATTTTAAAATTCTAAATTCACAAAGCTGAAAGACAATTAACCATCTTCAAGGGCCTATATGGGCTTCAAGTAACTTTGTACAGTAAATAAAATTAGAATAGTGGTTTATAATTTGAGAAGGATTGTTAGATGGTCCTCTTTTCCACAAGCACTCTCAATGTAGAGGAGAGGAAAAATACAGAATGAAGAGTAAATATGAACCCAACAGATCAACAATGGATGCAGCTGGAGTTACATGATCCTCATTCAGTAGATAACCTGTATTGGGTCAATTTTAGTACTTACTACATAGTCATAACTTAAGCATATTGTTCAAACGTACACTTAAAAGGCAGCTCTGAAATCAACAACAGGAACTACACTTTTCTGGACAGTATACCTGAACAACACAGCAGAATCTCACATCCTGAGAAAATGATAGTTATTTCAGAAATATACCTCTTTCTACTTTGATCTTGTCAAGGATTTCATTTTTGTCTGCTAAACCAGATTCAAGAGCAGTCTCTAGTTTAGCAATTTGCAGCTTCAGTTCCTGTTCCTTTAATTTCCATTGCTTTTCATGGGTCATACTGAAGACACTGCAATAAAACATGTGGATTGTGAAAAACTTTTAGAAATTAGCTTCAACAGAAAATAATAAAGAAAAAAGCTTTTAGTGGCACAGAGACCACTATCATCATGTCTTAGGAATTAAGTAAACATATGCTGGTCTGCTGCTGTTGAAACCAAGGCGCCTTGCTCAGGCTGCGGTTAAAAAACATGAAAGAGTTTGTGGGATGAGCAAAGAAACTGGCCTTAATTTAGAGCTCCAAAGTCAGCAAAGTTGGCAGCATGCAACATTTGTGGGACTAGAAAAGGAATTCAGATGCATATCCCAGAGTAATCCACAACTCCATACCTCAGCAACTGACAACTGACAAAACCATTCTTTCCGCATACAAAACCTCTTAATGTAGAGGACTGGGATCACCCACCTGATTTCTTTTAAATCTGTGAAACATGCAGAGCCTAAAGTCAGTTGCCCGTTCAAAGAAATGTTGACCACAAAGTAACAACACTTTTCTCATACTGTAAAACAACAATTCTGATACTGATTAAGAAGCACATATAAAGTAGTCTTTCTCCTACTTTAAGAAATAAAAAACAGGAGTGGGCAAACTCTTTTGCCTGCAACACATTATTTACTTGTAAACTACCAATCTGTGTGCAATAAGAATTGCATGGACACAGAATCAGAACTGCTGAAATCACAACAAAACGTGTAACTCTGATTGAAACAGAAGTACATTGCATACTTTACAGTATAATTCCTAGTAAGTAAAAAGACAATGCAATGCGCTTTCATATAATTTAGACAGAGAGTACTATGGACTTCATATGGTTATTATTATTCAATAATTGCATTCTTATTGACTGGAAAAATGTCCATCTTAACCAATCATAAACAAGCTTATTCACTTTTGTATTCTGTGAAAAATCAGAAATTGTAGGGTATTTTAAGAGTCAGTTCCTCAACTCTTCACTTTGATGAAGCTCACCAGTTAAAAAAGTTTTTTCTTACATATGTAAATGTATAAAAAAACCCTTCTGATATTTATCTATTTATCAATCTGTCTCTCCCAGACATCTGTATAACAACAGCTTTCACCAAAAAAACAGAGGAGAAGAAAGAAATATCACAGAAGGGCAGCCCACATAGCTCCACAGACTGTATATGCTGACTGAAAGATAACTGCTTGATTTGATGGCTATGACTACATAAAGTGGCTCTGAGTACATGTAAGTGCATTTATAGCTAATGTATTAGAAGAATGACCTTAAGATTAAAGAAAAAAAATAGTATAGCATGAATTGTAGACTCTAAAGTATATGGCAAGAGTTTATATTCTTGATTTATGATCTTCATTAAAACACTTCTATCTGTATTTTGTCTTTTTCCCATACTATATCTATCACACCTATTTATACTGTTTTCTAGGCATACACCATCTTACAGTGTGATAGTGTCTTTTACAGCATGCTTCTAAGTCCTACAATAATATATACTTCACTCTGCTATAATTTTGAAGATAATATGCAGCGAATATAATGCAGCAGACCCACAATCATTTCCATAATACTGTGTTCTTTAATTTCTTAGACTTGCCACTCTTGAAATTAGACTTGCCACTCTTGATTGGCTACCGTAAGAAAAGAAGAAATCTCAGCAAGAAAAGATATCAAATACTTAGTTTTCACACTTTTGAAAACGTTTTCAAGTTTTAATAACCATGGTATCTAGTTATATGTGCCTTTGTTATCTTTAGGCACAATGACTTCACATAAAGATGTAGCTACACATTACTTCAGGTTTTCAAAAGAGTACACTAGCAGAAAAATCATTAACAGTTACTGTGATAGTAATTCAGAATTTAGATGTTTAAATGAAGAACATCTTAGAAGACAGGTTTTATCCAACCCTATATGATGCTAATGTTTATGTCAGTTTGAATTGAGTCCACTTCTGTTGCTTTCTTCCTTCAAATTTTAAGATTACTTCTACTTGAATTCATCTGGAATTTCTTTCACATTTACTGTATTTCACTGGAGTTGGAGCCATATGGGTAACTATAAATGGTCAACCACATCTGGCACCGTTTCCTTTGGAGGGAGTTTAAGCATTGCTAGATTTGAATTACAAGTTCATATGAAAACAATTCCTCCAAACCTTTTATCCAAATGAATTGTTTTCTTGGATACTGACTAAATAATAAGAGTCAAGTGACAAATTCATACTTTTTCTTCATAAACTTTTCAGATCCAGTTCTGCACTACTGGCTTTGGCAAAATTCCCATCAACTTAAAATGAATTTCCAAAAAAATAAAACTGGCAAAAAATGTATTTATGCCTCTGTTCCCTGGTTAAAGAAATAAATATTTATTAATTATGTGGTATCGGTAGACACTGGCCTGTTCACTGCTTAGCAACAGGCAAGCTGTAGTAAAGTTGCATTGTTCAAATGTGCAACAGAAAAAGCTTGCCATTAAACAATAGTTACAATGAAATGGTCCCTTTCTCTTTCTAATTTGTTACCTATATAGTAACATGGAATGACGAAACATGAATCCAAGATTAAATGGCAGTATATGAAAAGATAGATTACTGTAGGTAAAAGAAAACCCATATTGTAGATTACTGGGTTATGAGAGAATCATATTTAAATTTATCTAGTTAAACATCTTTTAAAGTTATGCCACTATGATTTAAATAGAACAGAAAATTTCAAGCCAAGATCGTAAGTTGATTTGTTAGTAAGAGTTATTTCTCTGCATATCAATAGAGGAGAAAAAAAAACATAATCAGAAATATTTATAACATGATCAGACTTTGGAGGAATCTACAACAATGAACTAAAGTGAGAGACAACTAACTGCCCCTATACAAAACTCTAACTATTGTGATTATAAAACTGTTACAACTTATATGTAAAAAAAGGTTTCAAGCTATTTGTACTTACAGGTATTTTTCTACCATAATTCTTAATTTCATCACAGAAAGCACAAAAAGTATAATAAATACTGTAAGAATACTACAAACAAGATTTGATATCACTCACATTGTGTTTAGTCATTGGTATTTTTTTGACAGACATCACACTGACAAAACAAACACACTTTAACAGGAGAAATAATTTTGATATGAGAAAAGACTTCAAGTATTTTAACCTACTTTCAGGCAAGTATTAGCGCTAGGAAATTAGTCTTATTTTCTAACTCTTCAGTGCAAAAGACCACATGGTTTCACAATAAAGTTCATTTGAAGGTCATTTTTTCTTTTAATATGCTTGTGGCAATTGACTATAATTACTTCTTTTCTGTACCAGAGAATTTCTGAATCTTATCTGGTAACGTATTTTCATTTTCATTGCAAGCACTGCTGATACAATTTATACAACTTAGTATGTATAGGAACCTTTGTAAAAACTTACAGGAGCCTATACAAAAACTTCAAGCAGAACCAGTACAAGTGAAATGGTATCCATTTCTAAAACAAACAAACCACCCCTCAAAAACAAACATTGGAGAAGCTGTCAAATATCAGACTTTATATAGCTCCACTGAGAAGTGCTGGAAGAACTTCTACAATAAGTTCAAACACCGATTTTCACAAATAAAATAAAATAAAATAAACTCAAAGGAATACATTTCTACCTAGAAGTATTCTTCTTTCAACAATAACCCTAAAAAAAAAAATTAGATATTTAAATAAGAACTTTTTCTACTGATGTTCAAAACAAAGTGACTTCAACTTATCTTTTAATTGGATTTTTTACAAGTATTAATCACTATTTTGAAAGTATTAGAAGAAGTATAGAAGTTGCTCCATTTCAAAAGAACAGATGAAATACAGACAGAACACCGTAAGTTTCCATATACACTTACTCATATGATGAACCGTAGCATGAATATATTCACATGTGTGTGCAATCACACAATACACATATACACATTCAAGCACAGAGTATATGAAAATTTATTAAACAGGACAGGAATCAAGATTTTTTTATATACAGAAACCATAACTTACCTGCTATACAGCTTATCATAGTTTTCCCTCAAGAGTTCCTTCTCTGTTTCTAGATCATTTATTCTTTCCTGACACTAAAATGAAGCGGGAAGTTTCAAGCAATGTACAGCACAAAAAGAAATTTCATTGAATGTGTAAAGACAATTAGTTAACAATTTGTAGGCATTCTCAGACTTTTATTTGTTCTTTTTATACAACAGTCTCTTAGAAGCTTCAAAGTAATACTTTTTTTCACCACATGGATTTACATTTGGCCCAGACAGACTTTTTCATGTTGCTTATATGAAGCTGAGACTAACATGTCGCAGTTGAATAACATTATCTAATCACATTCAGCCTTATGCTAAAAAGATATTAAGAAAACCAAACCCTATAGTATTAAAAATATTTATTTCCATTTTGGTGAGTATTAGTATTAGCTAGTAAATGGGTCCTCTAAATATTTTATTTATTGACCTTATAGCAACAAGAAGTCCTCGTTTTCAAAACAGTCACTAAAGCAGGATATGGTTTTAAAGATAGGAGATGCTTTAACCCAGAAGATAAACCCTACATGCATTGCAATAATTTGAAGGTTTGGAGGAAATAACTATGAGGTAATCTTGGTAAACTTGGTTCATGTAAAATACATTCAAAGTAAGTAAACCAGGTGTTAAAACTAATCTTAAGCTGCTACAAAATGAAAGAAAAAACAAGTAAGTTTGCAGACTCTTAGTCCTCACTTATTGAGGAGAGTGAGGAATAAATCACTTGATTTTTAGCCCTATATCTGGATGACTGTTAGTGATGATACTTGCCTCCGAGAGCCACTAGACAAAGAAATAGAAGTGACTAATTTGAATTGCTGAGTAAGATGTAATACTACACTGTACTGTACTTAAATCAGGTTGAGGTTGAGATAATAATAGAAAACTAGCAATATGTGATCAATAAATCAAATATTATGACTTTTTTCTGGTTAACAAACCACTTCTCCAGAATTGACATGAAATCCTATCCTTGAACCTCAAAACACTGGTGCAGTGATTATGTGGCATGGGGACCAGGTATGGTTCATGATTCTATGAAATCCAACCAGCAGCCACAGTATTTTCTTTTTAATGGGATAAAATATATATATTACCAGATCAGTCTTCCAAAAGTGTTTGAAAGGTCTATTCACATCTCGGCAATTAAAAGGTATCCCATCTTTAATTTTTCTCTTATCTGTATGTACTGCCTACAGCAGATTCTAGCTCTCTTGAATACAATCTCACCTCTTCTGTCCTTCGGTTTGCAATAGTCACTGACTGTAATTCTTTTTCAAGATGGAGGCACTTTAACCGCTCCTCTTTAAGCTGTTGATTCAGTTCATCACTTTTTGCTATTAAAGCATCATGGCTCATCTTCAAGTTCCTTTGGTTCTATGCAGAGGAAGGAAGGAAAATCCAGGAGAAAAAATAAAAATAAATCAAATAAAAAACCAAACCCACACTTTGCAGAATGTTACAGCACTCTGTATACTCAATCAGTGGTCTCTCACGGCAGTATTTAATCTATATACTCAATGTGGTCAACAGGAGACACTATTGAACTACGTAACTGAAAGCAACTTTCATTACGCATGGCCAGGAGAAGGTGGCATTCTTACTGCTCTCATGAGCATTAAACCCTCAGTTCAGTCATGATGAAAACAACCAAGAAATACATCTTTTAAGCAATTAAAAGATTTTGCTGTGGTTACAGTGGTTAGACATGCTGACCAAAAACACTGCAGTAGCAAGCAAAAATGAATGCTGACCACAGTTATGTTAATCACAGAACTTTCCACAGCTCTGTTAACCCTTAACTGTAGATACATAATTGTTTCATAATCCTAATGCACTCAGTTCCATTTCCCTGCTAGCAGTAATTTAACGAGGGACTTATTTCTTTTACAATATTTATTTTAATGGATTATATTAATGCACATTTAACCAATTTTAATATTAAATGGAGGATGATGATAGAACCTCTGTTTCAAGAATATTAGTTAATATTATACTGACTACATTCTACAGTGCTTTAACAAAGCCTCACTCATTAAGAATTAAGGTATATCACATTCAAAGTATGAAGTGAAACAAAACAGCCCAAAAGCCAATATCGTGTTTAATAAAATTATTATATGAAAGTTTACATCAAATACATGTATGAGTATAGACAACATTTAATGATTGTAGACAGAAAAAAGTTAGCTTCATCTTTTCCATGATGATTTTAGTTTAATATTTCTAGTCTCGAATTTTATTTCCTTGGGAAGCATGCCTTGATATTATCAATTAGAAATAACTCATTTAAAAAAATGGATATATACCTCCTAGAAATATTGCACAAATGAACATAAACTGCTCTCAATTACAGTTGTGAAACTTTTGTACTGATTGTTCCAGAGAATTAACTCTCTGTAGTATTTTAAATTGTAATTGTACAGGTTAGCATATTTCATATCACAAATCATGAAATCCTGAATGTTCAGTCTGTAATCAAAGCAAATAAATATACCAAGGGGATCAAATATATAAACCAAACAGTTTCAGGGTCCTTTGTTGTTCTAAGCAGATCACCCAATGCCTTCGTTCAACTGGCTACATTAAAATTCTTTATCAACGAAACTGTCTTGTAAATGTTTGGTAGCAAGCTCAACTTCGGTATCATTAGATGGAGCAGGATTATAGGCTCTTATCATTCTGAGGTTTCACACTGTGCGCTGACTCAAGTTCAAAGATGAACATGGAGTAATTATATGGTTTCAGCTGGTAGAAACTGAAAGCAATTGATAACTCAGTCATAAAAATCATCAAGATAAAAAAATACTAAAAACGGCTTTGTTGATAAGTACGTGCCTTCTAAACAAGGCATTTTGGATTTTACAGTTAGTTACATTTAGTAGAGATGTTTCAAACATTCAAATGATCAGAAATGGGAAAACCATTGTATCCATTATCTTGTTAAAAAAAAGAAAAAACAACCCAGAAAACATACTCATCCTTTTCAAAAATTCAGCTTTCACTACGAATATTAGAAACAATGTGTTCAAACACCAGTTTGAATCCTAGACAAGTGTTTCTATTCAGCTGTTACCTAGCAATAGGCATAAGTACTTGACGTTTGCTGTAAATTACCAAGAAGTCGCATATGATTTAAAATGGAACAGTTTACTTATCGCTTTCTATTTAAGAACACAAAAAGCCACGTGAAACCAACCTGTCTCCCCTGGAGTTTACATTTTACATAGTTCATCCTGTGAAAAATTAGTTTTGAGCTACTAACAGAAGAGCTGCTTTGGCAGCGAAGATATTGGTATTACACCAAGACGGTGGAGGGAAGCAAAGCAAAGCAAAACACAGAAGCAGAAACACAGGAAAAAGAGGAAGAGGACAAAAATCTAATGGCAGAAGTGTTATTTAGCATGCTAAAATAACAAGAAGCAGGCAGTAGTAAGAGTTTACAAGGATATCTAATACTTCCACCTCATAAGACCAGGCTACTTGATAAAGCTCTATTGCATGTAGGATTCCTACTCACAGGAACTTGCCCATTTCTAAGCTATTACCATACTACTAATGCCTGCATACACACGCAGTCCTCCAAATACATATGGGAAGAAGCAGAAAAATACTGTGTAACTAAAACCTACATGGAATTTACCATGCAGTTGCATGTTCTGGTCATATTTTCATAAAACCACTCTTTTTATAAAGAAAGTCTATCACTTACAGAAGCTCTCTAAAATAATTTCCATGAATTTACGAACACAAGTCCTAACGTCAGAACTCTAAACAGCTAAACCTCCCCAACTTCATCACAGACTGATAAAGTGAGCAGGGTCTGGTACCCCTTCTTTAGTAAATCAGAACATTTAAGTCAAAGTCCTCTTTTTTAAGGATCAGCAATCTCTTTAGATAGACAGATAATGCAGTTCATTCTCCACAATCTGCCTGGAATGGCTTTGAAGATAAAATCTTTATGACCCGCTATACCCTTACGAAAAAAAAAATTTAAGACTAAAAACCCCTACACATTTGGAGTAGCTTGGGTGCAATGTATTATGTGGTTCATTCTCATGTACTCAGCATTGACTCAGAATCAAGAACTCTGTATATTTATTTACCTTTTATGCATGCTTATGAGACAAGTGTAAAGGAATGTTACTGACCAAATTGCAATTACCTCTTCAAGCTGGAGAAATTTTCCTTCCATTGCTGAAAGCGCATTGCTTTTCTCAGCCAGCTGTTTACGGACCTTGATCATTTCCACATTGTCCCGAATGTTTAGTCTTCAAAATTGTATTAAAAAGAAATGCATCATGAGCTTAGAGATACAAAATCAATTATCTTAATATTTTTATCTTGAAAAGTGGAAATCCTTTACCAATCAGCTTTCTAGAGCACACTTGGGAGAAGATTTAGTGTGTAATACCCAAATTAATTTCTTCTTCTTCTATAATCCACATCACAGAATTTAGGTAAATAAATATTCTAGCGCATGATGACATAGCAACTTCAGTCAATATATACACATCTTTATTTATCGTATCAAACCAAATATGACAGGAAGAGAAAACAATTCTCTGCCTAAAGAGATTATTTGTTTTCCATTCACTTCTTTTCTACCCTCCAAAGTATTTGACGCCAGTAGATTACCATTTTGTGGAGTTTCCTCTTACAGTTTAAACCTATCAAATACTGCTAAGAAAAAGTGACTTAGCAATTTATCCTGTAACACCTTAAGACTGGCATTCAAACAAGCTGCACGTGTGTCTTAACTACATGAAAATCATGTAATATCCATGTAGATGTTCTATATTGTTACAATTCTAAGATTAACTTGAGAATTAACTTGTTTAATAGAAAGGATGTTTAAAATTATTCAGAATTTAAATAAATATTTATTTTTGATGTTTTCCCTTACTTAAAACTGTGGAACTAAACCCCATTATTTTCACAGCTTGAAGTATGGGAAGAGAAACCAACTCTGATTTGTATTAATATAAAAAAATCTTCTGATAAAATATATATCATAAAATATATTACAAATATATAAATATATATATTCTGATAAAATCAGAATAAATCTTTAGTATTTGAAAAGTTAATTTCTCTTCCAATATTTATCTATTTTAGACATATTGGAGGAATTGTCACAATGCCATGATGAAGCAAGAAAATGGACTACAAAGCTTACACATCTGTAAACCAGCTGAGTACATGAAATACTTTCCTTTTATTCTGTAAAATATCAAAGCCCATTGCGTTTTGGCATTGCTCAGTTGATTGTCCTTACACAGAAGATAAACACACTCACAAACCTGGAATCTTTTGCATGAAACAGCCCTAACACAATGCTAAAACTATCATGTGTCTAAAACATGTTATCTACATAAATTAAAGTTGTGGTGTGTATAGACAGCAGCACTGTCTCATGCTAGCTATTTAAAAGCTAATGTAGTGGCACATTTTTATTAATCTTGTTCCACACATCAAACAAAAGGCTCTGATGCCTTCAAAGGCTTTTTCTTTTTCTTTTTTTCCCCTCTTCTTTTTTAAGCAGGGGGCTTTTTTTAAAGCAGGGAGCTTTTTTGTTTTGTTTTAAGTAGAAAAAGGAGTAGATGATAGTGAAATTTATGATGTACGGATGTAAACAACATGGCTTCTGACAATCAACATTAACTATTTTTTCAACAGTGAATGAAGCAGCATTTGATTTAAACAGGTTTGGGGTACTGCTATTATGAAGTAAAATTTTCAAATTTGGAAGTAAAAAATTACTTTTTATTGGGATCATTCCAATTCTTACAATTATAAGAGTATTTATCTCATGAAGTTTCTAGCTATAGAAAGCATGTGCCATTGATTTCTTATTAGGGCATTACACCAGTCACAACCTCAGCTCTCATTATAGGCTAGAGCAACAAACTAATTTCTCTACAGTACTTCTACAATACTTTATTTATTTGGACAAAATATGTCTAAGAAATGTCCAGCGCATCTAGGTGCATGACAAAGAGATTGCTGTTGAAGAACAGAATCATTTTAGATTTCGTAGGCAAGGCAAAGTTAGTATGAGGAAGATTCTGTTGGGAAGATTCATTTTTCTGTAAATGAAGACACAAAACAGTAGAACAGCATAGAAATTGGTTATCTACACAGCTTTGTACCTCCCAAGTAGTTGATGTATTCTGCTCCCAAAACATCTGCCCAGGTATTCTGATAGAACTTAAAAACAGGGGTTATATACAAATTTGATATAAAAGTCAATACTACCTTTCATTTATGTAGATAATATTTTGCTCAAAGAATAACAAAATAATGTAGAAGAATACTAACATAGCTCATTCAGTATTTTCTCTATTGACAAAAGCCAAAAATTCTGCCACAGAACCTGAAGACATGGAGGTAGACTTGGAGCAGAAGTTAGAAAAAGGAACTAATAACCCTTTTGAGACATTAACCTGAACTAAAGGGCATACTGATTTAGCTCTAGCCCCCCTTCTACCACAGAAGTGGAAATGCAGAAATAAGGAACATGAACTCTATCCTTCCACTTTAAACTTCATCTTGAAGCTAGATTAAGAAGTCTGAAATTGGAAATGAAGTTAGGAGAAAGTGACTCTTTAAAAAGCTAAGAATTATGTTTGAGGTTAATATCTGAAGTACACCAAAGAGATAATATCTTTTCCAGACCTCTTATCATTTGGATTAAAAGTATAGATTGGGGTCCCAATGACAGGCTGGGGACCAGCTGTGTGGGAGTGGGGGGACTGATAGCAACCTACACCAGAAGGAAATGATTAAAGAAAGGATCTTGACCTGCACTGTACAAATTTATGCCAGTAAATCCCAGATGGCTAAGCTAATAAAATTGAGGTCTAATTAAACCACATCCCTTGCATCTTGTTTCTACTTCCATATGAGCAGGACATGGATACAATTCTGAGACTACTCTTCGAGAGCCCTGACTATTGTATCAGCTGGACTAGTGGCTCACAAACTTTCCTCATTCCCATTTAGAACAAAAAAAACAAGCAAGTAAAAAAATATCACCACCATACTTCTCAGGATCACTCACTCTGGCAAAATAACAAAAGGTTTCCAGTCTAATAGTTCTCAATCACAAATGCATAATGGCCAAGTTATATACATAGACTCCCAAAGCAGAGAAGAACAGAACATCTGTATGCAGTACTCTTCTCATTTTACGATGCCTAGAAACTAGTACGATTATATGTTCATATACATTATGTTCTTTCCTTTATCTCTTATTCATTATAGGAAGTTAAATATAAGGGGGAGAAAAACTCCCCAAACATAGCAAAGTTTACCTTCTAGGGGAACCTTTATGTTGTAATTGATAGTATATTTGCAATAAGCAAAACATTAACATTGCATCAGTAGCTCTAGCATCCAAGTTACCAAGGTTATTTAAATACCAATATAAAATTCTGTATTTGCCTGATACAAATGAAAAAGGCATGATCTGCAGGGAAACTGGTTAAATGTGAAAAGTCAGATATGGAAATGCAAACATAAAGGTTTTTTTTTTATATTAGACATGATTTAGCAAATTCATATACATGCTATATTCCCTCAAAACCCTTTATATAATGCATTGTGACTAAAAAGTTCCACATTTTAATCTAGATCTGCAATGCTATAATCCCAACACAGTCATGGGTGTGTTGAATATGATAGTGCTGTCCAGAACTCCACACACTTAATAGGTCCAATTCCAAAGTCATGTTGCAGAACAAAGGAATTAGAAACTGTCTGGCAAATAAGCCTTTTCATCAAAACAAACAAACAAACAAACAAAACACAAAAAAATCCCACAAATGTGCAAATACCAAGTACCTGTTTCACAAAGGGATTTTGCAGTGGCTTTAAAAATGTCTTTGGAAAGTACCGTGAGCAATTAAGTTATTTGAAGCTAGTTGCTTGCAAAATGTGATTCTTTAGACCTAATGTTTTAACTTGCACACTGTGTATCATAGACATCAAACCATGAGGTTATTATGGTTCTGGCCATCTTTAAATTCAAAACAGTTAAGCTAAATGCAATTAAATTTTGTACATAAGAAAACGTGCTTAGTCTAACAACCCACAGGCCAAGCTTGTCCCTTAAGTCAGAATTATATGTTCCTGAAAAAAAATCTCCAACCAATCTCTAACGCAATATTGAAAAAAAAATTGACTGCAGCCACGTTACGATAATCTTGAGGAGTACACTGCATATGAGTTCAGCTGTGTTATGGAATTTTTGTGTTGTTATACAGAAACTGTAGCGAAGCTGCAAAGGAAGCTTTAAAACATTACTGGATTTCTTGTGGGTATAGGTGTCAGGACAACTAGTATCTCCCTCTCTTACCGCTGATGGATCAATGTTTATTAACTGTGGCTGCTTCACTACTTGGAAAGCATCATTATTTTAATCACTAGAATTTCTTATTCATCTAGCATAATAAAGAATGTTTTCCTAAAGGTTGAGAGTAACCTAATTTTGTTAACACCAGGCTGAGATCAAACGGTAATACAACATGAAGATTTCTGGAAGCACATTTATTATGTCCCTTTGGCGCCATGCAGTTCCTACATAATTTCAACAGATTAACTGTCTTTGGGTAGCAATGCAAGTAGATGACCACCAGGTGTATTCTTACAAAACACAAGAAAAAGCTGCCAATTGTACCAAAATTCAAAGACATAAGCTACGCAGACGAAATAAGATGACCTTATCAGTCACCCAAATCTCCAGTTTTTCCTCCAATATTCCAGTATTGACAGCTTCTTCTCTGCTGATGTAAAGAAGTTTAAAAATTCTTATTTAAAAATAAGAATTACATAGAAGCTATAAATCTATTGGTATAATAAAACAACTAATACAGACTGCTCTAGATAGCAGTTACAAGAATTCCAAGAAAGCAAGCCAATGAGAATCTCCTAAAGATAATATGTGTAGGTACCTATCGTTAAGTTAAATATGGAGAGAATAGTATCCCTCTAAGTTCCAGCTCCAGTTCATTCAGCATAAAATATGTAACTTGAAAAACATGGGGATTAACAGCCTTCCATAAAATTATTTAACATTATATAACTCATACTATTCTGGATACGCACTAGCGGACATTTTTCAATTTCTTTCCCAGCCAAACACAGTAACGCTTAGATACTTGATGTATCTTTTATCCAGCTTCAGACAAGAAATAGACTGTAAAGGAAATAATTCCAGAAGTTCAAACACGAATTCACAGATTGTAACTTAGGTCAAGTATCACGGATTATATATAAGTAATTTGATAAATAAATAATGATCTGCACTACATCTTATAGCCTGACCTTATTTAAGGATTTTTTTAGCTGAATTTGAAATGTATCTTTACTTTAAAACTCCTTAAAAATTTCACAGAAACATAGAAGCTGACATTGAATTTAGAAGTTATGTTCAGTTTCTAACTGCTGTACTGAAAGAACAGGGTTTATCTACAGAAAACCGAAGTACAGAAGTTCTTTGAGATTCATATCAGATTATTTTCAAATTATACGAAAAAAATATTTTAAATCTTTTCCTAATTCACTGTAGGCACAGACTGAGAAATTATGTATGATGACAACTTCTTCAACCTATTTAAACAATATAAAGGTAATTCTGGATAGAGGAGACTTATAACTGTGAATAATTTAATAGCAAACATTATGATGTATTATTTATTTAACGCCACTGATGCACAAAAAAATGCTCACACATAATAACAGGGTCCCTCTCTTGAAAGGCAGTTAAAGAACTGACCATATATTTCTCATCCAAATAGAACTTTCATTCAAATCAAATGAGTAAGGAATGCAGGATCGTGCTGTATTAGATCCTTAATATAATTAAAAGTAACAGGCTGAAACCAAAAAAGTCAAAAAAGGGAAAAATATATGCAAAGTTATGTAATTTTGCATATATCTTTGTATAAGTTAAAGAAGAAGAAAGAAGAAAGAGAAAGAAAGAAGTTTAAACTAATAGAGGCTTTAGTGTGAAACACATTCTGTGAGCATGTTTGTCTGTCGTTTCACTGCACAGCTATATCATCTTCCTTCAAAAATTTGTTAATCTACCCTTACAGGGCCATTATTTTTCTACTGTTTGTAGACTCCAAATTATCAATGAGTATTAATGAACATTATCCACTAAGAACCTATATCTAAAATTTTCTAAGAATTATATTGAAGAAACAACAGATTATTAAAGTTGAATAAGTTGAACTTCAACTGAATCTGGCAATTATGAACGTCTTGGGTTATTTGTGGAAAAACATAATAACCTATTGTCATAACAATCTCCTTGCTTAGAATTATCCATGGCTATTTGGTAAAACATATTATGATTTAGTTTCACCAAAGGGAAAAAAATAAATAAAGCACATATTTCTTAACAGAACTAGTAATTTTCACAGCTATATATAAACATTACGACATAGCTCTTCTAATGCTTCCACCATGGAGATTTTCATTTTTCACAATACCTTTGGCTTGTTGTTTCTTGTTCTTTCAGCTGTAGGATTGATACTTCATTTTCCTTCTCTTTCCTTCTTAGCTGACTCACAAGTATCTCACGGGCACGTTCTAGTTCCTCAATGTGTTCCTTCTGGGACTCAATCACAGTCTCCCTGCAAGTACAAGCATCTTACATTCCAAAACCAGGTAAGTATTTAACAAAAGAAAAAAAGCAAACGAATACTCAGGAGTAAAAATTTTACAAGTGTTCAGCAAAATTTGTATTTCTTAATGACATGTATCACAACATACACCATCAACTTGCTATGAAAATAATTAGAGGTCACCACATGAAAAGCTGTGAATAGTATAATAAATAAATAATTCAAATACATTATCAAACACAACACAAATAATATAATACTCTTGAAATAAACTTTTATGTGGACTGAGTAATGTTTAGCAGAACCTAGCTGAAAACACCGTCTATGGTTTCTTATACTGCACATTAAATGCACCCTCCTCCTAATCCATTAGTACCAAGTGTTTTCTGAAAAGGACAAAACTATTACTAGCTATCAAATCAATATCAGATCTTCAATGGATGGGGCAGTGAGAGTAATTTTTAAGCTTTTATGCTGAGTTAGGTAACCTTACATACACATACACAAAAAAACCCCCAGATGATGCATCTTTAACAGTGGAATTTATCCAGTAAATGCAATTAAAAAAAGAAAGGCAGAAAACTATACAGATCAGAGTCCGAATATTTTTTAGTAGACCACAACTTTGCGATTTTGATTTTCTTCACAAGTTAATCTCAGATATCTTTTGCAATAACATTTTTCCTAATAAGAATAACCAATGATTTATCTACAAGTGTTTCCACTCTGAAGCTTTTGATGCATAAGCTACAGTTCTTCATTACTTCACGCACCTATTGTAGACTTAAAAGTATATTGAGATTTTTGGCCATATGTTTGCTTTTGTACCCAAGTGCACCATTCTGAGCAACTGTGGTTATTTTTCCCACCTTTGTGAAAACTAAAATCTCAGACCCAACAACTTCGCTTTATTTTCTGAAGTGAAAACTTCAGAAAAATCTATTTTCTTTCCTTCAAGAAAACCACAAGTATTAACAATTATAATGACAAAACTTAACAAATATGAAAATCATACAAATTTCTTATTTCACTCCTTGGGTCCTCAAGCAGACTCTGGACGTATCTTGGGAGCACAATGTTAGGTGACCTCACTTCTAAATCCTGAAATTTCATTCCTGAAAACAAAGAAAAGACAATTTTTTGTCATGCTGAATAAAAAAGCACTTAACAAACCAACAACCTCTATACAGTGCAAACCCTTGTAACTCCTATACAGATGCAAAAAAAAAAAATTATTTTTAAATCAAATTCACATGGAAAGAGATAATCAGAGTATCTACAACATAGCTGCTGTAAAATTTGAACTATGGGCAGTACAGCAATCACTGCTAAAGAGAAGTGTTAAAAACGAGTCTTGAAATGCTTTTTTTAGAAGATTTTCAAGACAGAGAAGAGAGATGGTGTCTTCAAAGAACAACAACATCAGTATTATTAAACAGAAATATGGACTTGTAATCACTTGTTTTCTGATTGCACTTTCTTTACAAAATCACAAGTATCATTCACCTAGACAAGGAACTATGGGACCATTTTTAGCAACAGTGTAAATTTCTGTATATTCTTTACAACCATACTAAGTCCCTGGTGAAGAAGAAAAGTGAAGTTACTTAAGTAAGAACTGTTAGTTCAGGAGCAAAAGCAATGGTTTCTCCAAATCTCTTTCTCCTTCTCTTTCTTCAGCAAGAAGAAATTAATGAAGTTCTGACGTGGGACCAAGCTATGCGTTAAATTTCAAATACAGCATTAGGGCTGCCATCCCTCAGTCCTCAAAATTAAGTCGATTATGTTCAAGGTACAACGATACCAGCAGGTTCACAAAATGACTGAAAAAAAATTATCTACTTTGCATTTGTGCTGAGTTAACTTCTTTATGGTATTTTGAATTTTGATCTTGAAGTACTATTTTCAAGTATTGGTAATTGTGCTATATACAAACGTTTGTATATACATGTCTAGAGTACATATTTTTAATTTATTTTTGTTCAAATAATGATACATCTTAGATGGATGTACTCAGTAAAGAAAGTCATGAGAGAAACCAGTGAGTATTTAGTAAGCATTCACAGCTGACCACATCTTTTGGAGCGACTTGCTACGGTATTTGTAAGCCAGCCAAACACAAAGCAGACACAGTAAGGTGTACTTATTATTTGTGCATTCTTCTTGCCTCTTCATACCCTGGAGACAGCTAAGCTCTCCTGAATTTTACAGGCACTCATTTTATTTTTGGAGAATTGCTCTGAATATTTTCTGATCCACAGTAAAAATGTTTTGAGATTCAGCCTCACGTGTCCACAGAGCAATCAGAGTCCATCAGTCTTTAAAGACAGCAGGCACATTCCCCAACACCACACTTAGGTTTATCATCATTAATCGAAAGGGCAGGATGAGACAACATGCAACAAAAAAACATGCAACATCCTGTGCTAACGAATACTACAGAAAATATTCTCCCCTTCCGGAAGACAACACTGCTGCATCCAAGTTCTGAGTATTAGTTATTAGATTTTTAATAACAGTTAAAAAAACTGCATATTCACAGCACTCCGATTATCAGAATCTCTTCTAGCTTGGACAAGGTATTACAACTGAGATAGGCTCACCAGAACTTCTGTGAAATTTCTGAATGTTATTATCTGAACTGGATGTTCTGTGGACCACTTTTCCTTCCCCACCCCTCCCCCCCTCCTTGTTTACTTCACTTTAAAAACCGCTGCCTCCATCAGCATGGCCCCAGTCCTATTTCTGCACAGGACATCTTTGATCAGGATCTGTTCTTAAGCTGAGAGCAGTCCTCACAGCATACCACATCAACATTTGATCTTTAAACCTTGAAACAAGTTGCCCTTTTCTCTCTGCTAGCACTGGGCCTGAACAAATGTTTCTAGTATATTTTTGCATTGTTAAAACTAACGGCAAATTGATTTTGGGAATAAAACTACCTAACTCATGATACGAAGTGTGAAAATGTAGGTGTATTTAGAATGTCAGAACTTGCACTATATTCACATTAAAGATGCAAAGTGGTAGAGTCGATTGCTTTTTATTGCCTGTCTAAAAACATGAGAATTGTTTCTGTTTTCATATACCTGAATAATCAGCATAACCAAAATAAAGACTGGTGGGAGAGTGAGATGGAGAAAAAACCCCACAATATAACTGGCCATCAGCCTGATCCATAGTTTGTAGAAGCTCAGGAGACAAACCTGCTGACTCAATTTTCAATCAAGGCCAACTTCGCTGTTTTTGGGTTTTAAACACAATATCTGTACAGCGTATAAGTTAACTGAGTACAACTACTTCTACAAACGCTCATATGAAAACAGAAAGGTTTTAACGTGTAATTTTCAAATACAGCTCCCATAAATAAAAGACTGGGAGTGAGACTGCCCTAAGCAGTAAGTCTTGACAGTAAAAAGCATCATTCAAGATGGCTGCATAGTGGTATTTGCTTTCTAAAGTCCACACATGTAATAGATTTTTCGAGGCTGCAGTGCTGTGCACACATGTATCAAGAGACTAGGACAAACCTTGTAATTAAACAAGGAAAACCATGTGCAAACAAACTACAGATTTAAAACTTTGTTATAACATAATGCCAAATTTTTTCATATATTTCTTTTATAAGCCTTTAACATGTAGAGAAGTTATACTATGAAAGTCCCATGATTTTAACTATTAGAAAACTTGCTTGATAACTACTTTATTTTCAAATCTCTAGTTCTGTTTTACCCCTATTACTGCAGATTCTTAAAATAAGGACTTCAAAGACAAACTAGTTATCATAACTGCTATAAATAAATACAAGAAAAAAGGGGAAGAACAATCTTTCTGCCTACAGGTACTATTGCCCACTGATGAACAGCAAAGAGTATGTACTTGCTACAGTGAAGCAATAATTAGTGGTACCTATATGAAACATTATTTTTCATAAAGATGAATTATACCTTTCTTTGTCTGCTCCGGCATGCCAGCAGCCTCGCTCACTTTCTTGAGACCAGTGTTAATACGAGATTGAACATAGCTGTATGGGCAAGGCCTATGGCCTTGAATCTGGAGCTGTTGTTTAGTTGCAATGAGTTTGCTGTGGAGGCTCTCGTTATGTTTCTCAAGCTCACAAATTCTCTCTTGCAAATGCTCTATCATTTCTTCGAGCTCCACAGCCCGACCCAGCCGCTTGGGGCCGCCACCAACCTGTTCAGACCTTTTTTTATCATTAACAAGCCGTATTAACTTGGTGGACAATCTGGGGAAAATAATAAAAAAATATTAAAAAGAATACGAAAAGTCAGCATAAAAAGCTTTCTGTTGAAAGGAACATAATAACTGTGAAGACTTCAGCATAGAACCTGGATAATAAATTTCAGGTTTTGATATTAACTATTACTGCCTGTGAAGAACTCTTTGAAGATAATTGAAACCACTGTGCAGCAATCTGCTTTATAGCACTGACAAATAACAGTTTCCTAAGGCTTATCATTTAAGGTTAGTGAAGGGACGACACATATTTACTCCATATGCTGCTTAAAAGCAATTTTTAACGCGTGACCTTATATAGGAACCTCTGCATGCTGTTAAGTAAAGTTACAGATTTGGGACGTGGCGGGGCAAACTATAAAAGCTACAATTCCACAAAACATTCAGCTATTGAAAGAATGCTATCAATATGCAACATTCCACTCATATATAATTTCTAGTATTTCAGGATTTAAACATATATTTCAATTCTGAAATAAATACAATATATAGGTGGAGATATTTAGGAAGGTACTCTGGAAAAAGAAACTTAATAGTTCTCATTAACATATTCAATTTTATACTTGGTAAATATCACCAATGTGCTTCAGAGAAGGAACAGTTAGCTGAAGAATATAATTAGATACAGAGGGTATGGTTTTCATCTATCTTTAAAACGATATGAATTTTGCTTTTGGCATCTCAACAGTTGTACCTTTGATTTCCTTTAGTTTCCATAAACTTTGGTAAGCTAGAACAAAAGGCAGAGAGGGCACATGGGGGTGATGTAATATACAAGAACAGAAAACATACCCAGCAGCGAATGAAAAAAAACTTGGCATGTAAAGAAAGAAAAGGTGTCTTTGATGAGAGAGACAAGTTCAAGACTTTACGAAATTGGTCGCACATCTTCAAGACCTGTATCTAGTTTACAGAGAATCTATTTATGAAGGCCTAGAAAGAAAACTGAAAATAAGGACACGCTTCATTTGTTTAAAGGGGCTTGTTTTATTTTTGTATACTTGAGGACAGAAGCTTCTACTTAAAAGAACCAAAGTGAAACAAAACAAAAAAATCCATAATAACTTTAGGATGTTACAGAATGTTACTTGCCTGTAAGTAGGTTTTTTGTTTATTTGTTTTTTTCAATGTACTTCTACTGCAAATTCATTCCTAACTTTTAGTTACAAGGGTTTTGGCATAAGGGATGCTGGGAAAGAAATTTAGCTTGAGGAGTTAAAATTTTTCTCTGACAATCCAGAAAAACACTGTATTTTATATTTTCTGTGCCTTAAAAAATGAATTCAGGTATGCCAATTTGGACATTCTATGTAAATTTACCCAAGTGGACGATGAATGCATTTGATAAGCCATCTAATAGAAACACGGGAAATGCCATTTGAAATAAGCAAACAGTTGATCTGTTCCACCATCTTGTATTTGACAGTAGCCAGACAGAAAAGATGGAAGTTACATCACGCTGGTCAACTGATCCTGACGGACTGAATACTGAGGAAATACTGAGGAATACTGAGGAAAGAATGTTTTGGGCTTCAGAAAAGTATGACATAGTTCCATCCTCAGAGGCAGTATCTTCAGATGCCCTTTCATGAATTGGTTAGGTTCTGACCAGAAGGGAGCTTAGATGCACCAAAATTTTATTAGCTTAAGTACAGCACAATGTGAACACACAGTCACAGTGTTTTCGGATTAATTAGCTCTCCCAAAATACAATAACACCACGAACAGCTCTGCCGAGTCCAGGCTGGTTTGGCAGCATGGCACTAAGTTTAATAATAAGTCTGAATTTACCCAAGGTACCAACTCCAAAGTGGTGGATAGCAGTGTACCTCTCTACATGGAGATCTAACACTGTCCATTGCAAAAAATATCCCACACACCACAGAGAGAACCAGAAATCAATACAAAAATGCATTCCAATGAGTGATTTCTGCTACTGCTTTAAAAAGTGCTCTGAGATAAATCACCATGATTTTTATTTTGCTGATTTTAAAGGGAAAAAGTGTTATTGTGAGCTAAAATAAAAACATTAAACCCCACACCTTTTAATTTTGTCCTCTTGCTTATTTGCATGTTGTTTGAGTAAGATGTTCTCATCACGTAAACGAAGAAATCTGTCTTCCAGTTCCTTTCGAGTGATTCGTAATACAGCTTGTCGAGCTTTTATATTCCGTGTATTTGATGATTCTACCCGAACCAAGACAACTTTAAATTATCTTCAACACATTCAACAACATGCAATCCAAGGTCTAATTCATTTTGAAATACTGAGAAAACAATAATTAAAGTTTTCAAGTACTTTGATATTTTACACTTGTATGAGCCTGATGATTCATGTTTTCAGATTTATTGACATATTAATCACTTCCTTTTTCCTCCCTCTTACAGATACAGTAATTCAAATGATACAACAAACTGATTATCTACTAGACAATATAAAGTAAATAGTTTAGCAAGTAGCAAGATACTGTCAAACATACTACTTAATATGATCATTACCACAGAGATGCTTTCTAATCTGTTTCAAAGTTAACATAATCTCTTGAAGCTTGGAAAGATTAACTCATAATTCTGTAAATTTACTCAAATAAATCCAGTAGTTCCATTCTAACTGCAGCTGAGTAACTGCTCAGATTTGCACAGTACTTTTGCTTCCTATTTTGTTAAATGGGTCTGGCTTTGTCCTTGATTCAGCAAAAAAAGTCCTCTTTTCTTCTGGAGAGAGAAATACTAAGTCCATGAGATTTCCAGTTTTAGGCATCTCACAGCAACTCCCCTCTTACAACAAGCAATGTGAACACAGAATGCGTCATAGTGTCTGTCAAAATTTAACCCAGATTTTGAATGGTATTTGAACTTAAATTTGTGAGTGAGAACGTCAGAAACATTTTTAGGAAGAAACTAAAGAAGCCACGCATCAAAGTCTGTAACTGTAATAAACAGCAGCTGGTACAAACCTTGTAATCCTCCAATTCCAGCTAGAGTTAGACCTACATCTCTCACAGGCAGGTCCCCCACAGTCTCATCAGCTGAAATAGACATGGCATACCTGCGAATAACAAAATTCAAATGAAATTCTTCTCCACCTGTAACTTAAACTGCAAGACTAGAATAAACTATGGTACATCACATAAAATGAAGGAGAAAGTAATGACAAATTCACTCAAATGACAGGCTCGTACATTCCTGTAAATGCTCCTATGTTAACTGCATCATTCGGAGGACAATCTCAACTTTCAAGTTTAATGTTATGCCAGTTTAAAGCTGTGAACAAAATATGGCTTCTTTGTTATGCAATAGCTCCAATTGTATTTAATGTATGTAGAATTAGCTTTTTTAAGCTCTAGTTCTGTTGTCTTCAGCAATCTTTGGGATAAGCGCGTGTGGGAGAGGGACCTACAGGGTTTGTTTGTTTGGTTTTTTAATTGTTTGTTTGTTCATTTTAAGACAGGTCAAAGCTTAAGGCATCAACTTGTAGATGAGTAATGCCATACTCCACATTTTGAATGAGACTCCTTGAAACAGATATTCTGGGGGTTATGAAGTCATTTCAGTGTTGCCTACCATTATCTTAGTCTTCTTTCAATCACTGTCGTAAGAGAAATTACTTTCTAAGACAGAGAATCTCCTGTGAATTATTCTCATAAATCCGAACACATTTCTTTCTTAAGGCAACAGAAAGCTTAGCTACATGACAAAGTGACATTAGGAAAGTATTAATGTGAGAAAGTAGTACATTTGTTTCAGTGTAATATATGAAGATACTTGTTAAAAACTCTTTCTTCTTTTCCAGTGCAGAAATTTAGATGTTGGCCATAGAGTCAAGTAAGGCTGAAACAGCATGCAAAAGAGACACATGAACTGCTTTGGATGGTCTTTTTTTCCCCTATTGTTAGAGCCTTCAGGTGATATAAATCCTTAGTGAATCAAAAAACATCGAGGAAAGCACTGGGAAATTAACAGTGGTGTTACTAAAGACCTGCCTCAGAGGACAAAAGTGACACAGTACAATCCACAGACATTTCATGAAGTATCTGTGAACTGTCACATAACCAAAACTTCTGCTAAAGATAAGACTATCTTCTACCAATAAAGTGTTCTATCATAAACAAGTCTCCTTATGACTCTGTCCAAAAGGAATGAAAAGGATCAATGAAAGTTTCATTTCTGACAAGTCAATTTTGCTTTCAATCTTTTGGTTTTTTTCGTCACTAAAATTTAGGATAAAGTACTATTTCCAGCTTTCGCTGGACAACCTGAACACATTTTTCTTTTATATGGAACAAATGTTTCCTTGTCACGACTGCTGAAACATCTGATCTACACTTGGAGATTAGCAATAAGGTTGCCGTTTCGATGTTGTCAGTCACAGAAACAGAGAATGACACTTTGTGACATTGATGTCCAAGGCATGCAGCCATTGTAATCCATGGCACAATTCTAATGACATACATATCAGCTGGAATCCAGCTCCTCAGTGTTCTCAGCTCTTCTTGCGTTATTCACACAAATTCCTCAAAACTTTTCTGTGATTTGTTAAATTAGTGCTATCTGCAGTCATTGACTTCACTCAGGTCTAGGTTCATTATTGTGGTTGTTGTTGTGTGCCCCTGTATCAATATCACTACAAAAACTAAGAATAAAGTGAATCAGAAACCTTTATCTCTAGATAATCAACTCAAATTTGGTTCATGAAGGACAAGATGCTACCATTATATGTCTTTCTAGAATGTGGTTATCTTAGTCTTCACAAATCAAAAATGACAGGATTTATTTTGGCAAATTTCAGAGAAATCAAGAGCTAAACAAATATTTTATCAGCACAACTCCTCAAGGTTTGTGATCTATCAAAATCAAGCTTCAAAAACTCTAGCATAGTAATAGGAACAGGCAGACATTACTGTTTTTCATTATTTTCCAGTTGCTAAAGAAACTTTGCTACGGATATCTACCTGTCATTTTCAGTGTGAAGGAAAACCATTCATTTAAAAAACCAAAGACATAACAATACAAGCTTGTTCTTCAAATAAACACCACCCCCCCTTGTCATTAGCAATCCATTACTGGCTGCAGCAAAAACACAGAAATATTTCAGTTGTAAGCAAATAAATATAGCAGGGCTGTACATGAAAACCAGTTTTTATTGGCAACATGACATGATTTGAAGACAAGTGACAAAACAAAATTGGCTATAAATCTAAAGTCCAAAAAACTCAGAAAGGTGACATTTTCAAAAGTAGAAGGAAGAAGTTGTTTCATTTTCATTACAAAGTGACAGAAATTAAGTATTCAGCTTTGTTTTCTGTCCTGGGCCACAGGAAAAGGAAAAAAACACAAAAAATAACTGCTTTTATGCAGAAGAGTGGTGTTAGATAGAAATAGTACAAACCTGCCTCCAGGTTTTAAGGAGGCAAAATATAATTACAGATTTTGAATTTAGCCTGGCAATTTATTTGCCTCATTCATAACATAGGAACCACCTATGTCTTTAACAATCACTAACAACCATCATTTATGCTTCTTCTCTGAGACAGGCCACTTCAAACAGCGAATCACGTGTTACATATATTACAATTACTTTTCCAATATTACCTCTGTGTCAATCACAAACACTTAAACAAAAGTACTTTACTGGCAGTCAAGAGTTCCAGCATTATTTCTAGAAACATATGAGACTTCTCCACAGAGTTCCAAATTACTTCTTTGGAAAGCATTTCCAAAGTGATTAAATCTGACAAAGTTATACAGCGACACTGCTACAAAAGTGATTGTACTCAAGAGTCCAGCACTTCCTAAAGTAAAGCATAATAAAGCAAAAGATATATAAATTTATATTTGCATCTAGACAGGTCCACATGCCATGCTGAACCTCAACAACTTAAAAACAGTTTTTATTTCCAAGAAAGGCTACTCTACTGTCACTTCAGCACTTTTTGTTCCTAAAAAGTAAGATAAAAGTAGTTCACATACAAAGAAAAAAGTTTTCCATATCTCTGGGATTAACCGATAAGAATTTCAAGATTGGTATAAGCAAGAATTTTAGATATAGTTACTGAAGTTGAAGACATTGTAACTTTCTTACACGCTGCACTACTTACAAAACTGGTGCAATCACCACCTGTATCTGACAAATTACTACAAAAAATTGCATACAAGTTTACAGTGTTGTGCAAGACCAGATAGTAATGAGCATAAATACTTAAAGTCTCATCTCAAAGCTCATGCTTTAATTCTGAATTCTTATATAACTCACAGAAGCGTACTGTTCTCCCAGCATCATTTAAATGTAGCAAAAGGGATTACCTAAACTTCCAAAAGTTCTCAGCCAGTGGGGCTAGAAGGGACAGTTACCAGTGAAATCTTAAAAACTACAACAGTTATTTAATTGTTTCAACATGAACTTAGAGTTTCATGAGTCTTGGCCGTGGCCAAGATGATGCTTTTCTTACAAAATTCTACCCCACTTCTCTGGTAGAGGTAAGAATAGGAAAAAAAAAAGAAGACAAAAAATAAAAGAAGGAGGGAGGGAAGGAGGGAAGGAGGTGAGAGCCAGACCACCCACCTGTCTTAGCCTGTCACAAAGCATTTCCAGGCTACATTCTTCCTCTATTGATTCCTTAAAGTTAAATGTTTGCATTCTGTTGGGCTTGTCATTTAAAATAATCTCATTTATTACTTGGTAGGAGTATACAGACATACCTTTCAAACATCATCTGTTGCAGTGCTGTAAGTTTTAGAAGGTGGAAAGGAAAAAAAAGCAAGAAGATAGGGAAGGTATTAGCAAATGAGACCACCACATCCTGCTGCAGTCTGAGGGAAGAAACGCCTCACAGACCCCTCAGCCCCACTGCAACACAGAAAAAGCAAAACAACCGTGTCTCGCCTTCAACATATTTCACCAGTGGTTGCCAAAGTTTTCCTCAGCTCCCTCGGCGCCCGGCGGGGGCAGGGCGGGGCGGGGCAGGAAGGCGGCGTTCGCCTCACGACGGAACGCCCACACCCCCCGCTTTTTCCCGCCCTCGGGCACAGGAACACCGCTCCCGCTTGAGCCCAGCGGCCTTTTTACGGACATAACGGAGACCGAA